AACAGTGTGTCCGAGGGGCCGCGTTCCTATCCCACACCTGTTAGGTGTGCCTTGAGCTGAAGGAAGGAAATGTTCCGGGGAAAAAGCCGAATACTTTCGTATGACCTCATGCAAACTTCGCAGCCCCTACAGACTGAGTGGGACCAGATCAATCCGCTTGCCACTAGATGGCAACTGCTGCCCGCAGGTCCCGGGCGCGGCCGGCCGGGGGCTCCTCCGGCAGCCCGTTTGATGGATGAAGCGCTGCCCCGGTTGCCACCCCCCCCCCGCCGGCTCCTCCCTCCTGCCGCCAGCCCCCAGGTGCTTTGGGTTTGCGGGAGGCTGCTGGGCTGGCAGCAGGGTGGGCTGGTGGCCGCTGAGATCCCGCGGGCTCCTTGGCTGGTGAGTAGCTGGAGGTGGGTTTAATTGCTCATGGGCTCGGCTGCCTTGACTCGCCCCCCCCCGGGACGGAGCTGGAGAAGCGCTCCCGAGGGGAGCAGCTCAGCCCGGGGAAGCTGAACTGGCTCTGACCCGTTGTAAACCTGTTGGATTTTAGGGTCTGCTTCGTTGCATTTTATCTCTAGGTGCAGTGCTAACTCGTGAGTGACTTGTTTTTTTCCAGCTCCTGTGCAGGGAGTGGAGCTTATTCTGCTGCGTACACAATGAAAATTTTGCAGGGATGATTTTTTATGGTTATATCTATTAATGCCTTAACATGAGTTCCAGGAGGTTTTATTGCCATGGTAAAACCCTCTGTCTCCAGAGCTGTTTTTTCTTGGGCTCCTTAACTTTGATGCTTTCCTGCTAAGGTTTAACAACCCCAAATCCCATACTGGACAGATTTTTCACTAAACACCTACCCTATGCTGCGGACTTTTCCACAGCTCAAAGACAGCTTTGTCAGGTTTCCCCTACCCCTCAAATAAAAATCAATCATTTGCCTCCAAGCAGTTGGGACAGCCTTGGTCTGAGGAGCAAAGAAGCCTCCCTGCTGTGTAGGGGATGTGTCCCCTCCTCAGACTGCATAAAATCTGTCAGGACAGACTCAGCCTCCCTCTCTGCCATGCCTCAGCTCCCAGAAACCTTGGAAGGTACATGGCTGGGAGCTGGGAACATCGTGCTCCTCAGGTGTCTTAAAAGCCATGGGTTGGTGGTTCGG